TGCCATGGCATGGCATGGCGTGGTTAAGAGCGACCCGCAACCTGTGAACCAGTACATCGCAACAAATACGAAGTTTAACCATTTTAACCCGAGCTTTTATTCTGTATGATACAGAGTACGAATCGTCTTATATTAAGTAAACAGCGACTCGCACCAAAATAATTCCGCTACAAGCCTTCACTTAGACACGTGAAATCATTCGTACAGAACGTAACATAAATGCCGACAAAGTGGGTAAACAGTGACAATTTATCCAACATCTGGAGCTATAACAAATTTCTATTGACCCTGCTATCATGCAATCATCACAAGTTCATTCCAAAAGGTATTTCTCGTTAAAACGGTTTCATAATGGCCTTTGGCGCCAAATGAAAAATGGTTGGCGCGAGGTTGTGTTATCCAGAGGAAACATTTGGTCAGTTCCTAACTAACGTCTTAGTGAGAAGGACCTGGCCAAATTATTCCTGCGCTTGTTTCCGACTACGCCTCCGCGTCTGCGGTACGTTTCCGCTTTCTGAATCGAATACGACGTCGCTGCACTGGTGGGATAGCGGTGCCATCGTTCCACGTTTGGTGCCATATTTGTGAGCATGTCAGCATGTTGCCCGTTTCTAGTCTTCTTACTCGGATGCAAAGCGGTACGTGCCCTCCCATTGCATCGCTACAACGCGGGCAGAACCACATGCTCTCGAACGACTTTGTCTTGGGCGGCGCAAATGCTGAACAGACCTTGCACAAATGCTGACGATGTTTGTTGTCGATGCCAGGCTTGTACAGGTCTTCGACGTTTTCAAGGATGTGCTCTTGACGCGGGACTGGAATGAAGACGAGGTCTTCTGCGATCAAGTTTGTCTCGAAGTGGCTGGGCTGCAGCCCGAGCAGCTCCGTGTGCAAGCGTCGCAGGTAGTCAGCGTGGGTGGTGGTTTGATTCCTTTTTGCTTCTGTACAATTTTGTGAATAATGAAGCCATTCACCACTGCCATGTCAACTATACCCAAGAAAAGTTGTTTGTAGTATTTGCGATACGCCTCACACTTCTGGATACTGTACCGCTGCAGCCTGAGCTGGTCGTGCACGTCTACCCCTCCCATTCCTTTTGCGTAGTCCACGACCAGCTCAGGGCAGGGTATAGTACTACGTGTTTCATTCTTCTCGGTGCGCTGGACGGTGGCAGGGTGTGTACTGCATCCCGTAGCAAGCATGTACACAGCATGCGAATCCATACAGCTCAACGCTACCAGCTCTTGATGCTGGCGAGACTTTGCAATACGATACGTGCCTCGCTCCATGTTCTGCGGACGCTGCTTCTGCCTGAATGTGATATCGTTACACAAGCCGAGACGATTTGGCCGTACCCACGTGGTACAAGCCCATTTTCAGCAACTTCAGGCTGAGTGACACAGTAGAATAAAAGCGGTCTGTCACTATCAGACGCTTGGTGGGCTGTCTACTCAGTGCCTTTGAGATATTGCGCAATACGGCCTTGGGCCCTGCCCCCAACACTTCGCCTCGTTTGGCTTTCTTTTTGTCAGCACCACAATAAATCGCCAGTCTACAAATACAAATACATAATACGAGTATTAGAATTTAGCTAATTCTGTACAATACAGCAGTACACATTCCGTAATATACAGCATAAGGTGACTTACCTTGCGCAGTATGCTGTCTCAGCACAACAGGTAAGGTAGAACTTTGTTTCGTACTTGCTGGGCTTGTTCGGCATGTAGACACGGACTGGATTGAACTTACTGCGGTTGGGAATCATCCTCTCATCAAAAGAAATCACCTTACCGAGGCGATATCCACGACGAAAAGTTTTCTCCACTGTTTGTAATACTGGACGAATTTTCCAAGCTCGATCTTGCGCGGCTTAACTATTAGAGCTGTCGCTGAAGTGTAGAAGTTTCATGATGACCTCAAAGCGCTCACGTCTCATGTAGCGAGAGAAGGTTCCCCTGGGAATCGCACCATCTTCACCTTGACGCCAATGACCAGCGAGTCCGTCGCGAATGGGGCCACAGCTCGAGCAAATAGCAGCGCTATCACATGCACAATTTCGTGTGCTTTGATGAGTTTGAACTTCTGCAAGCCGCTCATGATCTCCTTGACACTGGGTACGCTGACACCTGGGTCTTTTTGCTGTCGCTTCAGAAGTTTGGTGCGTCGGGATGCAGCCAAGACAGGGATATTTTGCTCACGGTAACGGTTCGTCTCATCTGCAATTCTCTTCCACATCGCTTTAGGCAGAAAGTAGAAGAACATTCCCATTGGGGAGTCCGCAAAACCAACAGCAGAGCGGGTTGGTCCTGAAGGCCCAGTGTAATAATCATCGGCAGCATCCAAGCGTACGTCAGCTACATAATGCATAAAATACGGAGTAAGTCATTGTACTAGTATGCTTATTCTGTATAATTGTGAATTACCACTGTGGTCCTCATCGTAAGTCCCCCAGCCGCTAGAACCAAGTTGACGAAGGTCTTCGGGTGCCATGTCAAACGTGTAATCCATTTCCTCGTCACTATCAAGCTCCTCAACGTCGTCAACTCCTTCGTCGCGTGAGTCATCGTCGCCATTGTCGTCATCATCGGCTTCCGACTCAGAGCAATTATTGTCTGCATTCTTGACAAAGTTGACGTCGTCAGACCTAATGCTGTCAAACAGATTCTCACTCCGCATCGCATCCAAAAAGTAATCGCCGTCAAACTCATCCAGAGGGTCATCATCACGGCCATCAATTTCGCTCTTCACATCGTCCGAGTGACGATGCTGATCGTGGTAATCTGCATCATCCAGAATAGGCTGGGGTGCGACACTGCCTTGTTCTGTATTGTGCAGAACTGATAGAACAGCTTCGGCAACAGTAACCCGGGGAGATAATGTGTCAGGAGCCACTGAATCTGCACCATTGTTCACTGGAGCAGCTGCTTCCTCCACAGAAATGTCTGCAGCGTTCAATGGAGCAGGATCAGCTGGCAACTGGACCTGAATTGACAAATCTACGCGATGCTTAGGCTCTGCCAGCAGACCCAACACCAGCAGGCCCTCCTTTCGGTTAAATGCCATGAGCTCCGGCTCACCTAATAAATAGAGCGTAAGATACTAACCGTAGAAATACAGAATTGGCACAGTCACGCACCAACAAAATAGTGTTCGCCTCGCTTGGACGGATCTAACCGACCCTTGACCCCAGGTTTTACATAAGTAAAGTCAGTGCTTAATCCCTTAGGCTTACGCGCTTTTCAACCTCCGCTTGAGATCTGACGCCACAGCTGCTTGAACGTCTTCTCGTCGGGGTTATTCATGCTGCGAGTTTTTGAAAATTGAAGGCTTCAAATGAAAGAGGAAGAGGGTACTTGTAGGTTTCTTATTAAATTTTCAAACCTCTCCGTCGTTTATACTGGCTTTTTTATTTATCGCACCAAATCTTCCCAGCGCTAAACCTACATGATAATGTTTCAGTACAAATATTTATATGCGGAGTTCGTACCAATAGGAAATATTACCGAATGGTTTATCCTATTATATTGCTTAATCTGTAGAGTACAGAGTCCCGGGCTAGAAGTACTCTACACGGTCTGTACGGCCCGTCCACTTGTGCCTCTGTTCTTTTCACCGACTCGATACGAACCCGCGGACACTCGCCCACTAAAATTTATCAGCTGGCCGCTCCAATTTGGAATCCAAACCTCAAGCATGGCTTGTGAACGAGACAACAGACTCTAGCTCTATTAATACGTGTAGTCCTCTAAGAGCCGCGTACAGTAAAGATACCCTTTCTATTTTTTTAATACACTTGCAGTATGCAAGTATTTAGCGCAGAGCGAGTAGCAATAGTCAATGTTAGGTGACAGATAGAACGAAGCCTACGAGCGTTAGTGGAGTGAGGAAGGCTGCTCAGCAGAGCGTATATTCCAGAACGAATAACTTTCTGTGTTGCTACATTACCTGTCTCTCCTTCTCTCACACATGCACCACACAGCAAAAACCCTTTTGGGACAAAAGCCGGTGGCACAAAACCCATTCGGGACCAAAAGCCATGATACGCGTTGAATGGTAGAAATCTCTCAGCCAAATGTATCGGTCACGCTTGGCACCATCCATTCAAACACCGTGCGCGTTGCTTTGACCGCCAAATTCTGGTACGACTACACTCATCGGGTTTGAGTGAAGCACTTCGACAAGCTATTAATACATTAGTTGCCGTCACATTACGAACATAAGATGCCTGGTCCTGCCAACCACCGAAGCCGATGTCACCTTCACCGCGCGATGCATAACCGTAGAAGGATGGCTGGTCGTTCGTGAATCCCATTTCGGTCAAAATGATATCAAACACTTGCTTTCCGTCGATGGAGAACACGATGTTACCAGCAGTGGCGTTGACGCGGACCTCAACGGGGCACCAGACGTTTTCTTTCACGTTGAACGGTTCGTCGTACTGCCAGATCTCGTCGTATTTGGTGTTGGAGGCTCCAACGCCAAGCTCCAACTTGGAGCTTAAAAACTTGCCGGGTAGAGTGGTCAGGCCGTCAATTACCTCCCCAGAAGCCTGCAAGCCGACCGTCTCAAATGTGATGGAGTCTCCTGCCAGGTTGGCCAGGTTGGCCGAGCACGGAGGTGATCGTGGCTCCAATTGCATCTTCCGTGAAGCGGTGAGTCTCCACACGACGCGAGTTGGTAATGGGCGCCCGTGTCAGCAATGCTGTTAGAATCTGGCTAGATCCACATCTAAGCTGGATGTAGATGTAGCCACGTATCGCTGTTATCGAGTCTGAACATGAAGCTAAAGCTCGTGCCACGGTATTAATAGATGCGGCTCGCAAGTGTTGGAGGCATCAACCGTCAATTTACTCGAGACACGCAGCTTTGCTTCGTTAATTTGCAAGACCTTGATCACAGAGTCTGTGACAGACCGTGGCACAGTTCAATCACCGGAAAGTGCACAGCTCTTCCGCTCATGCAACTGTACGAACAGAACTTGGAGGTAAGGTGTGAATTGGTGTGTCTATCGTGATACATGTGCTATTGGTGTGCTTTAGGTTTCTGACAACTACTTGGTGGCCGGGTTCGCGGCATCAAGTTTGCGCCGCTTTGCGACGGCACCTGCAAGTTCCTTCAGCGTCGTGACTGTGTCATCCCAGTTGATGCACGCATCCGTGATGCTCTGGCCGTAGACGAGCTTGGACGGGTCGTCGCCAAGCGACTGGTTGCCCTCCACGATATTGGACTCGATCATAACACCAAGCACATTCGTGTTTCCCTCGGAAACAATACCAGCCAGGTAGCTAACTACCTTTCGCTGGTTAGCGTGCAGCTTGCGCGAGTTGCCGTGCGAGCAGTCCACCATGATTTTGGACGGCTGCTTAGCCTTCTTTAGCATGGCAGCAGCCTCATCAATGTACTTTTGCTCGTAGTTGGGGCCATCGGAGCCGCCACGCAGGATGACGTGGCAGTCCTTGTTGCCCTTGGTGCGCACAATCGATGCCAATCCGTGTTCGTTCAGACCGAGGAAGTTGTGAGGCTGCGACGAAGCAACGGCAGCGTCCACTGCCACCTTGGCGTTGCCGCCCGTGCCATTCTTGAATCCCACAGGCATCGACAGGCCACTGGTAAGTTCGCGGTGCAGCTGGGACTCGGTAGTACGCGCGCCGATGGCTCCCCACGAAATGAGGTCTGAGGTGAACTGGGGCGAGATGGTGTCGAGGAACTCCAGACTCACGGGAAGACCCAGCGAATTCACGTCCAGCAACAGCTTACGGGCAATGCGAATACCCTTGTTGATCTTAAAAGACTGGTCGAGGTCCGGGTCATTGATCAGACCCTTCCAGCCCACAGTCGTACGGGGCTTCTCGAAGTAGGTGCGCATGATCACCAGAAGTTCTCCGTTCAGCTCGCCCGCAAGAGTTTTCAGACGCTTGGCGTAGTCCATGGCAGCGTCCACGTCGTGAATGGAGCAAGGGCCGACGACCACGACGAGGCGGTCATCTTGACCGTGCAGGATGCGGGACACGGCGTCGCGCGTAGCGTCCACCAGTTCGTGCACCTCAGGAGTCACGGGCAGTTCCTCCAGGACGCAGGCAGGAGGCACCAGCGGCTTAATGGCGACGACATTACGGTCTTCTAGACGCTGACGCTTGGTCACACGTTCGGTTTCAGGTGCAGGGTGCGGCTGGGTGCTCGGCATTTCTTACTTAACAGGTCCGAGACAAATTCAGGAATGCCAATGCTTCTGACCACAAGAACATTTGTGGCCCGGGGGCAGTATTTAGTGACCCAGGGGTTGCAAATAATTACATTTTTTGTACATGTCCACGCGGAGTGGAGAGAAGACCAACAACAACAATATTGTGTAATACAGCTCGCGCGGCATGAATGTAAAGGACAACCACATGTGGTCCTTTGATATCATGGACTTTATACTGTTTTTCTTAATGGCGGAATTCGGCTCTTTCAGGAAAATTGTGTCCTGAATGAGGCTCGTGTGTTGGACGTCGCCTGTTCGAGTGCGCTAATTTCCGCTATTGTTTTGGCCGGGTGGTCTGGTTTTCAAGGCAACAAAATTTGTTGCCTTGAAAACATTTAATGTAACTAGCGGTTATGCCCGGCACCGCATTGCTTTCAGAACAATGCAGGACCATGATCCTGGTATAAGATCAAGTGACGCTAAGAACGTAAAGCATGAGCATCCTCTGAAAAAATAAAGTCCAGATTGCATTACTTTGATTTACTCTCCAGAACGGTATTACATTTGGACAAGTAGCTGCAATCGATACTGTAGCTACTGCTGATATTGCATATTGGGAGAAGCTTTCTACAATATTGACGTATCGTCCGCATTTATTGTTAGATGGCTTTGACTTTAGCAACCATCTTGCTATTCCAGAATGTCCTGTTCGTTTGTTCGCGAACGTTGTAGTCCTCACGATTCGTCGTTTATCCGTATTACGGACTTCACAGTTCTAAAAAGCATCTCAAGCCTAACGCAGATCCTGGTATTTGATAGCGTCTCCAACTTTTGGACTCCTCACCCCAGAAGTCAACAAGACATTTTCTTGCTGACTTCATACACTACAGGTAATTGTGCCGCTTTACCTCGTGGGTTGATCGTGATCGTCCTTAAGCGCAGTGACATTTAAGTGCATTGGTGGCTCGAGAACAGCCAGCTGTGGTGGTTTATTGGAGGCCCGTTGCATAAGCTTTTTCAAAACGAAACAACGCGCGAATTACTAAAATAATTCGGTCGCTGTTTCCATTTCAAAAGCAAAACCGATTTGCTGCCAAAAAAGTACTCACGGCGGGACTTGAACCCGCAATCTCTGCCTTAGGAGGGCAGCGCCGTATCCATTGGGCCACGCGAGCGTACATAAAAGTAGCTCCGCTTATATCTACTAGAAAGCTCACGCGGTGTTATAGTGTAGCCATCCTGGAAAAATTGTATCCCAGGGATACAATTTTTCCAGGCACTTTCCTCTCTCGAAATATTAAATTAAAAATTGGAGATGTAGTGTGTATAACAACTTACAGAGCCATACATATGAATTAGCTTGAAACACAAAAAACTAAGAAATACAAAAGTATGGACAGAAACAATTTCATTTACCCACATAATCAATTATCAAAGGGTAGACCAGCGCTCCCACGTCAGTCATGGGCAATCTGTGAACAAGCTCGTCACTTCAGAATTTTTCGTAGGCGTACGAGTCTCCGCATTATTATGAGCACCTTCGGCCGCTTCTTCCGCGTTACGACCTTCGGTGAGTCGCACTGCAAGGGCGTAGGCTGTATCGTGGATGGCGTCCCTCCGTCGCTTGCACTGACCGAGGCTGACATTCAGCCGCAGCTTACGCGTCGTCGTCCTGGCCAGAGCAAGCTCACGACCCCGCGCGACGAGAAGGACACGGTGACCATCATGAGTGGCACCGAAAAGGGATTCACGCTCGGCACGCCGTTGGCTCTCTTCGTTCCCAACGAGAACGTACGCCCTAAAGACTACAAGGAGATGGACGAGGTGCCTCGCCCGGGCCACGCCGACTACACGTACCAGATGAAGTATGGCACGCGCGCTAGCAGCGGCGGCGGCCGTGCTAGTGCTCGTGAGACTATTGGCCGTGTGGCGGCTGGTGCTGTGGCTGAGAAGTGGCTCAAGGAGAAGTATGGCACTTCTATTGTGTGCTGGGTGAGCTCAATTGGCACGGTTGACATGCCACACGACGTGCTGAACGACCCCAAGAAGACGATTTACAGTCGTGAGGACGTGGACACCATCGGTTCGATTCGTATTCTGCGTGACCCTGCTAAGTGGACTAAGGTGGAGGATGCAGCCAAACAATTGGAGAACGACAAGGCGTACGACGCTGAGTTCGTCAAAGCCGAGGACGACCTCACCACGCCAGCGTACATTGACACGGAGAAGATCGTGTACAACCGCAAGGGTGACGTTGTGCCTGCCCCGGAGAATCTGGACGCATGGCTAACGGAAGATTTGATCCCCGTGCGCTGCCCACACCCGCCGTCCGCTTGCGCCATGTCCACGGTTGTTCGCACGATGAAGGTGGACGAAGACTCGACGGGTGGTGTCGTCACGTGCGTGATCCGCAACGCACCCGTGGGTCTGGGTGAGCCGTGCTTCGACAAAATGCAAGCCGTCCTCGCGCATGCCATGATGTCCATCCCAGCCACCAAGGGTTTCGAGATTGGCTCTGGTTTCTCGGGCACCAGCAAGCGTGGTTCAGAGCACAACGATCCGTTCTGCGCAGGCTCTGACGCCGAGAACCCGGAGAAGCTGGGCGTGACTAAGAACGACGCCGGCGGTGTGCTGGGAGGTATTACCAGCGGCGCTGACATCTACTTCCGTGTGGCCGTCAAGCCCGTATCGACTATCGGCCGTGCCCAGCCGACTGTCGGCTATGACGGCAAGGAGACAGTGCTGGAGGCCAAGGGCCGTCACGATCCCTGTGTACTGCCGCGCGTCGTGCCTCTAGTGGAGTCCATGGCAGCGCTTGCCATCGCTGACGCTGCCATGATCCAGTTGGGCCGCGATGGCAGCAAGCTAGACGAGCCGGCGCAGAAGAAGCGTAAGCTTTAAGTAGACATCGTGAGCTTTCGACGCGTAGAAACAACATAGATAACGCTACGAGCGAACTCTGAAGCAGTCTTCATTATGTTAGATAAGCAAAAGCATTTACTACATGTACTTTTCTTTGGATTTCAGCAACAAAGGTTGGCATCGAGTCTCTCACAGCTCGCGTTCCCTGTCACTGCTGGCATATGCAGCCCAGCCTTCTATGGACCCCACCTCTCCTCTATCTTCTTCTTCATTTCGATCACTACCCACCTCATCTGTCTCTCAGCCTCGCTCTTCGCCATTTCATGTCTCGTTTCGGTTTTCTCATCATTCCATCGTGCAAAATGTTGCAACAGCTAACGCGTTGAGCAGTCAGGATGCTCGACTGCACTCAATACAACGGACGGCGAGGCGTAGAGAGACAACGGGAAGCGACTTCTTCAGCAACTTCTCAGCTACCAATACCTCACCATGCAGGTGTTAAGCAGGACAAAGCGCTATTTTGCTTCATCACTCGGCAATGCGTGATGCCTCTCGGCATGCTGCTTCGGCTACTGATGTCGATGCACCCTCACCGCACTCCGGAACGTAGCACACGCAAAAGAGCAAGCCTAAATAAGCGACGACTCATTGCTCAGCGTCCAGACGATGTTCGAGGCCTTTGTGTCCACGCGCGTCTTGTCTCCCTTTACAAATGTGATACCAGCCTGACGGATGAATGCTTTTCCTGTCTTGCCTTCAAGCTTAAGTTCTTCGCGAATATACTGTACAGGAAGCGTTGGACGATACCTGTCGTAATGAGCAAACTACTGTCAGTAGGAAAACATGCCGTAAATCCTCACGGCAACGTACGCTTTGCACATCGCTCGAAGCGCGCCGAGTCGGATCGCGGGGACCATGACGTCCATCAGGTAACCTGCCATATTCGGAGCATCTACATAGAGTTTGAAAAAACGATGGTAATCATTCATAGCAACCGCCTGGCGCACCCCAAGCGCATGGGCGATCGCCAGGTCTGCACGCAGCCTTGGGGTTACCATACCCAGCACGTTGTACATGCCCAGCTGACCTGCATTCGAGTCCCCCTTCTTGGCTTGCAGAGACACGTACACACAGTACAAAATGCGGTACGCGAGGAACTCGATCGCCTCGCCTGGGAGTAGTTTTTCGTACAGTTCGTGGAGTTGCGTCTGGCACTGGTTAAACTCGTTGATATCACCCGACTCGAGCGCAACCCGCGCGTGGGTTTCGTACACGGATACGGTGAATGCGTTCTTGATATGCTGCACTGTGCAATCCTGGCGAATGGACTTGAGCTGGCTACAGGCATAAATATAATCTCGGTCACCCTTCTTCCACTTCGACTTGACGAGCTCCAGCGCCTTGTGCAGCACTGGCTCGGGTCGCACCGTCGAAGGATGCGGGGGAGAGGTTAATCGCAAGTATTCCTTTTCAACCGTCTGACTAGTACCTTTAATGACCATGGCTGCAAGGTCCAGGTCTCCGTCCTGCGTAAGCACCTGCAACTTCTTGGTATCTACTTCAGGGGTCACTAAGCTCTTGAGTTCCTGCTGGGTCATATGGAATCGCTGTCTTCTCTGGTTCTTACGCTGTACATCCGCGTCTTGGATCTCAAAGCCGTCGTGTTTGCGCTTGCCCGTCTTGTTCTTCTTGCTAGAAGGGTCTTTGAAAGGAATAAAAGTCTGATTGGGCTGCAAGCTACTGCTATTAGACGAAGGTAGAACCTTGTGGCCCGCCGCTCCGGGCATCGGTCCGCCCATCCCCATCTTGGTCTGCATGGCCGCTGCCGGAGTGTCCCCCACAAGCACCGGCAGAGGTTCTGCAGTCCAATTCTTCGTCCACAAACTGTTTGTCATAATTGCATTTGTAATCACCTCCTTAAGAAAATTCTGAGTGATACTCTGGTCTGCTGCTCCTTTGCAGCGCGCGAATGCTCGCTTTACGTAGTTGTGCAGTGCATCTGGCCACTTGGCGTTGCCTCCCATGGGCGAAGCAGCAGTCAGAGCTGCAGGCTTCGGTGTCGAGAAGGCTCCCGGTGGCGGGCCAAAGTTCCTGGGAGGGAAACCGCGGTTCTGAAGACTGATATTAAACTTTACAGGAGGTGCAGAGGCCACCGTCTTGGATGGTGCCAAACTTTGAACACTGCTGCCGTTGCTCCACTGCCACTGGGGCGCGGAGGGCTGGGACGACACTGGACGAGGCGGCGGCCGCATCATTGGAGGCGGTCCTCGGCCGTTGAGCGCAAAATAAAGAGAAGGGGGCGGTGGACGAGCGAACCCGGTGGTCATGTGTGGCGGTCGAGGGGGAGGAGGACCGCGGGGTCCGTTAAACATACCAGGGCGAGGAGGTGGCGGCTGGAAGAGCTGAGTCTGATTCTGAGGCTGCGCGGGCTGCGAGGGAGACGCGTAGAATGATGAGTAGCCAGCGAAGCGGGCGGCAGCGGCAGCAGCGGCCTGCTTAGCGGTGAGACCGGCGCTCTGCGGCGGGTTGGACGTCATCTGGACTTCACGGCAAGGAGCTTCCTTACGCTATACAGCTATTCGGAAGTGTGGTGCTTCTATTCGGGTGGTGAAGACTCAGAAATGTAACTCTGATTATTAAAAGGTTTTCATCCAATAATGAAGCATTTTTTGCTAAAGAATTTTGTTCAATGGTGGAGCTCTTCGTTCCGTGTGCGGTGGAGCTTCCACAAAAGGATAATTCCGATGGTGATGACCACGATCGTTCGCCGATTGGGCCGCTCGGCAGTGCGCCGCAGCCAGCGCGCATCCTTCGCCTTGCAGCGTGTCGCCACGCCCGTGCTCGTGTCCGCACAGCAACCACGTTTCTTTTCAGCCAAGAGCGGCGACGACTCGCACTCAGACTTTCAGCCTCAGTACCACGCGGCAAAGTCCACGGAGAAGGATGAGATCATTAAGATGATCGAGAGCCACGTCAAGACGTACCCGGTTATGTTGTACATGAAAGGCACGCCTTCAGCCCCGCAGTGCGGCTTCAGCATGCAGGTAGTGCGCATTCTGCACGCCCAGGGCGTGAGCTTCGACAGCGTCAACGTGCTGGACCACCCGGAGATCCGCGAAGGTGTCAAGGAGTACTCGTACGTGAACTATTTTTGGTGTTGAAAGAGGAGTGGGGCGATGTGCTGACTGATGTTGTTGTTGATGACGATAGGCAATGGCCAACGATCCCTCAGCTATACGTGAACGGCGAGTTCGTGGGTGGCTGCGACATTATCACGGACATGAACAAGTCCGGCGAGCTGTCCGAGTTGTTGGAGGAGTTCAAGGAGAACTAAACACAACCAAGTAGACTTGATAAGGATTGTGGGGGCTTGGGTGGATGAACTGACATGACCGACGTTAGCTCTGGGGCGAGGACTGGCTCATCGACGAATATACGGGTCTATATCGGCTTACGAATGGCAATTTTACCGTACGCGTCCATTTACTCGGCGTCAATTGATGTACTCGCAGCGCTTCGATTATATTAATACTGTACTGTAGTTGTACGGGTATGTTATCCTTGTCTGCAACATCCAGAGATAAATTTTCTGACTGAGTTTTGCCCTCGCACCAAAACCTAGACAGAGACCTTGATGTCAAATATTGCTGCCCTGGCGTTTTCGTCGAAGTGCCCATTATTTTCTACAAGCAGAAGTACAGACTTTAAATTTCACTTCCGAATTCGGAGAATAAGTAAGTATAATTATTAAAGAAAACAATAATATTACATGAAAACATGTATTTTAAATCATAATTTTTAAAACTGTAGCGACGCAGGGCCTGCTGGGTATTTTACCCAATGAGTGTGGAGGAGGTGGATTCGTTAGATGCGTACATGGCGTCCCTGGAGCTGCCATCGGGCAACCACTCGATGGCTCAAGAAAGGGCCGAGCGCAACATTATCCACTCTGCTATTCGCAAAGGACACACTGCGCTTGTTAAGAACCGCCGCTATCGTCGACTACGGCAGCTTTTGGAAGCCTCTTCAGATGAGGACCATTATTTCTCGGATGGTATGATGCAACAGCGTAGTCCGGCGCTGTTCCACTTCTACTTGGGGCAGTATCTGGGTCTTAACAAGAGTGCACCTCCTTCAAAGGTCAGTGAAGTACAAACCTTGTCGTCCTTCCTGATGGACACTTGCCAGCGCAGCGAGATGGAGACTCGACGGATGGCCGAGCAAGAAACGTGGGGAAAATTCTCATCTGCGGACGAAAAGCAGGAGCAGAGTCGACTGGAGAGGTTGTATGGAAAAGATAATACCGAAGAGGAAGAAGAAGAAGAAGAGGAGGAGGAGGAAGAGGAACCGACGCTGTATTCTATCGACGAACGACGTGAACAACTCATAGAAATCATGAGCTCTAGATTTCTCAACGGGGAAGATGGCGCGTACGTGGATTATGCGGAGATTGACGCTGACGAGGCTCTGGATGATTTTGATGAGATGCAACGCGATGCGGAAGATCGCTATTTTGCAGAATCTGAGGTAAACCCGGTCAATTAATGCCCAAGCCTCACAGTCCGTGCTTGACCAAAGTAACTTGTTTTTACCATTCCTGCGCTAGACCCTTTGACCACTTGGCTCCACAGCGAGGATACTGCTGTCTAGGGTGTAGTGCACCTTAAGGATAGTTTACTCAACCTTGCTATAGGTATGATGCAATTCATGAACCTGGACTAAGGTAGTGGCTCTGCCTGAATGGGAGTGTCTTGTGTCTGTGAGTCTGGTGTCGTGGGTACCGTAACTCGGTTTTATTGTTGTGCATGCTTAAGACTCAATGCATTTATCAGTCACGGAAACCTAGTGCGCAACGGAACAAGGCTACGACAGTAGGATTGGGTACGACGCACACCGACGAGTACTTTGGCGGCGGCAAGATGAGCTCTACGCTGCTGGAGCGCATTGTTACTATTAGCAGGTTATTATTGTGCTAGTGACAAAACCAGAAGGTGTACTTGACATATATTTACGTCGGCAGTCGCGAGACTGAGAGCTGGTATTGAATTTTGAACGGCATTCGCGTCGACCTGTGGAGAGTTTTGCCTGGCAACAAGAATTTACCAACGGTGGCGCCGTCAACCCAACATGCATCGCAGCGAGAAGTCGAGCAGCAAAATCTGCCGTGCTCGAGAAGTTGAAAAGGCCCAAGAGCTGCATCGGAAAAAGATCGACGGTGTCAAATCGTATATGTACAGCATCATATCCAAGCCGGCCGCATCACGTTCTTCCACGTCATCTAAACTGAGACCATCTCGATCAAATATGGGTAGCATTTCGTCTATAACCTGTGTGCATGGTGAGCCACCGCTAAATGCCGATTCGCCAGCGGTCAAAGCGACGGAACTGGGACTTCAAAAAGTCGATAAAAATGGCGACAGCTCCGGGACCAGCGAAACGTGGATCTTGGATACTACGAGTAGTAACTCGAGCCGAAAAGATCAACCCACGGACGATTTTCAGCGATCTCTAGCGAAAATGGAGGAGTTCCGAGCAGTAGCGCCCGTCTCCGACTTGGGAAGCGTTGCCCCAACCAAGCCCCACAAGTTAGCGGCACCACCTGCAAGATTCCAAAAGAAATCCATGAATGGATCAGTTCGTGCCAGGCGCTTGAAGGAAATCAAACATGACAACGCAGCAGTGTTCGAACGCATACGCAAAAGCACCTCGCACTACAGCAACGGTGAACTGCAACGTGAATGGCAGAAAAATGTGTCGTACCTTTCGTCCATTAGTGAATTTCCCGTGTCAGGGGATTTACTGGTGTGTGGAAGTAAGCATCACAGCCCGGACGATGAAAGTCGTAGATGCTTTGGGTCTTCACCCAAGCGCTCCAGCTTTTTACGAAACGCTAGTCGTGCAGAACCTCTCCCAATCATCCCCGTATTTGCCCACCCTATCAAGTGTATCCCGACATCTCCGAAGAAGTTGCAACTGAACATGACACCAGGGTTCCGCTCGCTTCGGAAGGCGATGCCTCAGCAGCCATCTCTACCTCCGATATCGTCGCCACACAGCGTTTTGAGTACTGGGACAACTGATTTCGCCTCAAATTCAGGTAACAGTCTCCTATTATCTCCCAGAGACCGGAGTACTTGTCCAAGCAATTCTGGTATAGATAATCACTTCGCAGAGAGCGTTTCAGGGTGTCAATTACCTTATCGGAGTTCTACTGCGATTGCAACAACAAAATTTATTGGAGATTTGCACGGGAAGCCAGCAGAAAACGAAGTATCGGGCGAAGCAAGGTACCAACTGCTGAAGACAGGCCGCTTCGTGGGTGGGATATACCTCGTGTTGACTGTTTTTTGTGGGGACAGCGCTACCAACCCCTACGGTTTTGACGTCTTCGCGTACCATGGTGAACTCCACTGCGAGTATAAACTGAGTATCACAAAGGAAATGACCCATGAATTGATAGACAAAAGCAGCTCGACGTCTTTAGCAGCGACGACGGCAGCAGCGGCGGGGACCAATTTGTCCATGCAGGAAATTGCTCGTAGCATTTGCGACCGCATCAACTTCGCCATGCTTGGTGCTGACCAAGGCGAAATGGTATTCTTATTGCCGAATGTAGGAGCGAAAAGCGACCAAGCAATGTGCTTTGATGCGTCACCAGGACTCGTAGCGTTTTGTCTACATCAGATCATCGAGATCGAGAGTGACGAAGTGGTGAACACAAGCAATTCGAGTGCGCATCTTGTCGGTAGAAAGCGAAGAGCGCACGTATTCGCCTCGACGTGCCCTCCTAAACAATGCCCCGGAAATGTCGTGCCAAGAAATGCAGCGAAATCCGTTGACACAACGGGGCTTACGATTCACTTCCAGATCATGGATACTCTATCCCCGTCACAGTGTATGTCATCTCGTGAGTCAGTAGCCCCTGCTCTCAGTGTTGAAGCGAGTGTGGAGGAACTATACGACACTATTCTTCTGAGTTCGGGGCGGAATCAAAAGCGCATCGTGAGCTTAGAACGAATCGTTGTTGCTACCATCCAACATCTGCACATCATCTCAGTTCCCAATCGCTACGACGTCAGTACCTTGACGAACGAGGTAATTGTGAACTCGCATGTCAACACATTGCTGCACCCTTGCTCCGGTCGACGAGTGGGTGCAAGTACGCTCGAGAAGAAACGATCAAGACGGCAACTACCGCACTCCATCTCTCAGTTGTTTACGTCCCCGACACAAACTACAATCTTGATACAGTCTGGCCTGATCTGGAGAAATTGCTATCTGTTGGCTGAGATTACACTCGATACACTCGAGAGGAATACCAACAACAACATTTGTTCGTTACAGCAGAATCAGCAGAGGAAAATCCACGACCATGATTGTGATGTTATCGTCAGCGTTTTCAATTCTAACTCAGGTCATTCCTCGAGTCGAAGGCTTTCACCAGTTGCTATCAGTTTTCTGTTGGGGAGACTCAAGGCTAAAGCAAACGTTTTTACTGACGGAGATATCAATGAGCAGCACACTTTTGCTCAAGAATTGCTGGCGTACCTTCAGCTTGACGTGGATTTGTTTGGTCAAGAAGTAATCATATTCCCCATGTTAGAACACCCACGTCATGCGGACAACAACCACGAACCTGAAGTTGAAGCTGCAACGCCTGAAAAGCAAATTTTACCCCGCAGAACGAATTGGGGGGAGGAAAACATTTGCAAGGGCGATGAAGATGCTGGCAATGATGCATACGACGACAAAGAATTGAATATTGCTCCGAATTCGGACGGCACAGATGAAGAAGAAGAGCACGACGAAGATGACACAAGCTACAGCTTGTACACCAACGAGGACGCAGGCAGTTTGGAGGAAATCCTCGAAGGTCCAAAGACACGCAAATCCAAGGACGAAGAAATGCCGGAAGTAGATTCAACGTTAGAGACTCGGCAATGGCGCCAAGGTCGTAAGATTGGCGATTGTTTCTTTTTTCTCCAAGGCTCCTCAGACGGCACGAAACAATCTTATAGCATCGCAGCACGGGGTCAGTTAAATGCCCTTCCTGGATAACAATCAAGGTGCGCCAGCTTCTAAAAATTTCAGCAACTTCAAGCAGTAAGAAATTGATTGTAATCACGTTTCTATTCCGTTAGAAACTCGTTGTGTCGGTCAGTACCGGTATGGTGCTACCGTCGCCACGTCCTGCACAGCCTCAGCCGGGGGCCCGTCGGCCAGCCACCACGCAAGCTGCAGTCGATCTGGACCTTAAGAAGCGGCGCACGGACGGCAACAATTTTAACCCCTCTGTCCCAGCGCAGAAGCCGCTGAACCGCAAACGTTTCCTGCGGTTCCTTAAGTCACATGAACTAAAATTCGGATTGGCGCCTGTTGCTCGAGACGAAGCGACGGGCGAGGTAACGCTCGTCGTATGCCGATTCTGTCAGCATTTTGGTCGCGAGCAGCGGCCAGACAAGCAGCGCCGCTCCACGAAGAATGTCAAGTACTTTCGAAATTCCTTTCGGACTGACCAATACCAGCAGCACCATGAACTATCGCACTGCGAGACGTGGAAGAGATACCAGGCCAGCTCGGATGACGAAAAGATGGCTTTCTTCCCGTTACCGGTAGGAGCGACCTTAAATACACCAGTGGAGACAGTAAACCCAACCCAGAAACTCAAGGTTGAGTTGGCACCCGGTGAAGTTTGGGCTCTCGAGCCCACACGAGAAGAGAGAAAACGGTGCTTTGATATTGCACCGGCTATTGTGGAGCTGGTAGCTGTGTTGGCTATTGGAGCGACTGAGCCAACGGTGGAGAACGTTATTGAAAAGCAAAGCCATCATCTTATGGAGCATGCACACGAACAGACATCAACTGCGGTGAAATGGACTCCCCCGACCGGCACATTCCAGTCGTGCCATTTAATAGGGACAGTGATTGATCCATTGTACCGTGTCAAAGTGCACTCGCGCTCGCAGATCGACTGCTTGGGGGAACTGGCAGCGGCGGGATTGTCGTTTCGACAGATTTCCAGTGCCATGCGGTCATTTCGGACACATGCCGGGGTGTTGCTTCGCGATGTTGTCAGTAGCAAACGATCGGGCAATGATATCGCTGGAACTGCTGCTGAGAAACTGCTCCAAGGTGCACAGAACGCTAGTCCGGAATACAATGAGGAGCAGATAGCGGAGCTTGTGCGTCTGATTATTGCAGCGAACTTGAGTATCACGTCACGACTGTTGCGTGGATGCTGGGCCTTCTCGTTGGTGCTTCGAGCGTCCATGGAGCACGCACCCGTGCGATCGTATCTGGAGATCCGCGTAAAGGTGTATGGCGAAGGTGCCATGCACAACATTCACCTCATTTCTATCCCAGCGTTCGAAAACAAGTGCAAAGCCATGATGTACAGCACGTTGGAGCGGGTGATGAACGTCGTACTGCCAAACTGGAGACAGCGACTCATTGGTGTGGCTACGGACGGCGATGCCCAGATGCCAGCTCGCGTATTGGATATTATTGCGCGTCTGCAGCAAGAAGCAGCAACTCCCGTCGTGTATCGCTCATCAAGCGTCTGCCATCAACTAGACTGCATTGTGACGAACTTTTTCTCGTCTCTTCAGGGAGGCTGCTTCCTGTTGGTTTTGAAAGAACTGTCAGCTTATATTCGCCGACAACCTGAGCTGCTAGCGAGAATGACACCCGCTCCTGCGTGTCCCAGGACTACCCACTGCTCCGTAAGTTCTAAGGAGAAGTGGGTCGCGTTGGGAAAGGAGACAAATTGGATTGCAGCTCATCGCGAATTGATTTGTCAGTACCTCGACGTTGAGAAGCCTCCGAGCGCGCCAGATAGCTCGTGGTGGCTGTTTTTTGCGGCAGTGGACTGGGTCGCTACTCGTGCCAACGAGACATTCGAGACGCTGCTGCGCAACCACGCAACTATAGCTGACCAGATTGCAGCGGTTGCTGAGCTGTCTACGGAATGCGCTACGGCTTTCCAAGCGCTGGGGCCTCTCAATGACTCGCTTCTATCTACAGACCCGGCCGGCAACAAACTGTTCAAGTCACGCAAGGGTCGATTTGCCTTGAGCAAGCCCAGCATAGTCGCGTTTATCAAGGAGAATGACGTGTCGTCAATCGAGATCATCAACAGCGTCGAAGCTCCCATTGTTGATCTGACCGCGGAAAACTTGGCATTGTGTGGAGTTAACATGATCGAGTCGCTGCTGGAGCTCAGCATTGCTCTCGGTGACGAGCGAAGCGTCAGTTCTTCAAGCCGAGGATCAAAAACGCCAAAGCTGACAGACTTCCTACCGCCGACGCTGCCGCACGAGCTGGCACAACTCAGTGAACGTGAGTTTACGTCTTTGTTACAGACGTACGGCCCCATGGTACGCAGTTTCCTGTCTGAAGAGGAAATCGACATGATGGACCAAGAGTTCCAAGGTTTGCGTCGTGGCGCTGTGCGCGAGTCGGTGCTTAGTGCAGCACTGGGCAACTGCAACGCCGAGACACCGTTTGAAGAAGCGTGGGCTTTGACCGAAAACCGTTTTAAACTTCTTGAGTGCTTCGCAGGAGGGCTCGCTAGTGTGTTTTCCTGCCCTCCTATTGGCATTAGAGGCAGCACCAGTGACCTGGCACTGTGTCGAAGCGATATGGACACGGCTCGTGTGCTGCTTGCTGACTTCGCGTTGGAAGGATCGCTTCATGCCCAGCAGTTCCCAGCTTTGGTGGATTTAAACGAGAAGCTGGGAACACACGAGACAAGTCGAAACATTGGAAACGTTGCTACAGCAATGAAGGTTGGTTAAAGCTTCTCGATGACAGCGTTGTTTTTTCTTGTTGGGATTGTTCAAATAGCTTCAACTAGGTAGGAAGTCAGTGAACCCAAAGTCCGAGTACACAATGTGTACACAAATTAACAGAATATTTCATCCGACTTCAAAGCACGTAGAGCAGTCGAGATGTCTCGCTTCCTGGCTGAACCCATCACGACCAAGACGTCGGAGAGCGTGTCCGCGCCGGGCATGTCCATCGGCAAGTCCAGTATGCAGGGATGGCGCGACACTATGGAGGTAAGACGCTTTACTTTCTCCATGCAAAGGAACCACAGTAGAATGAGCAATTCATTGACACGCTTTATCATCTTGCAGGACGTGGACATTATACAGATTCCGATGCACCCGTCCGTTCCGGACACTACCTGCGTCGCCGTATTCGACGGCCACGGTGGCCCATCCGTCTCTACTTACATGTTCGTGAAGCTGCGGTTTAATGTTGTGTCATTGGTGGTGCTAACCAGATTACAACTAATTTGTGTTTTACAGTGCGGAGAAGATTATTGGAGCTATCACAGCAACGGAAGCCTTCAAGAAGGATCATAAGTCACCGGAATCGCTGGCTGTGGCTCTGTGCGAGGGTTTCATGGCAGCCGACGAGATGCTGAAGGAAGACCCAGAGTATGCCACGGCTTGTGACGAAGTGGGCTCGACGGGTCTGTTTGCTATCATCACACCGAAGGATATTGTCTGCGCCAACGTGGGCGACTCTCGCTGCATTATGAGCAACGCCAAGATCCCAGAGGTGTTGCAGCTGTCCGTGGACCACAAACCTGACTTGGAGTTCGAGAAGCAGCGTATCATGGCTGCGGGCGGCACAGTCTTCCGTGGTCGCGTGTGTGGTGGTGTGGCTGTCTCGCGGAGCTTTGGCGACTTGTGGTTCAAGCGCAATGCCGAGTTGAGGCCCCACCAACAGCTCGTGACGTCGGAGCCGTGTGTGCGAGTACAGCGTCGCGACCCGGCCGACGAGTTCCTTGCGCTGTGCTGCGACGGTATCTATGACGTTATGAGCAACGACCAGCTGCGCAAATTTATCCGCAGCAAGCTCAAAAACGGCGTCAAGAACCCCAAGGAGATTTCCGAGATGCTAGTAGACGAGTGTCTGGCCAAGGGAAGTCGCGACAACATGAGCGCCGTCATTGTGCTCTTTGAAGCTGCTCTCAAGAAGTAACTCATGCATAGCGAGGCCGGCGTATGCCCTTGCCGGGTTTACTTGCATTATTCTATCGTCATTGTGTTTCTCTTGACTTTAAAGAGATTTCTGTTAAGATACCAAGTCTCTACTTGTGTAGCTGTGGGTTCGTGACGTACTCGTATAATAAGCTGGATCGCAGAGCCTCTATGTGGTTCCTGGTATTGTTATCTAAGGATACATCGACATCATGAGTTCCGTCCACGTGCGCAAGTAATAGCGCCGGGTAACGATGTAAAAGCGCCATGAGCATTGGTCGGTGCGCTTCAGGTTCTGGAGCATTCAAGTCACTTCCAAGCTCCAACGCAACACGGAAGCAGCGCACCACATCGGTATCCACCAGTAGCGGAGGCGGTATCTGTTGCCCGATAAGAAACTCCAGCGCCTGCAATGCGTTCTGCTCCACACAAACCACCGCAGCATAGGCGAGATACCGCAGTGCATAGCAACACTGGAACCTTTGTCTTCTCGGGAAATACTTCTCGTAGCGACACATGCCATACAGCAAGCATTCATGGACATCTTTAGATAAAGGCACTGATTTACTGCCTGTTTTGTTGGATGGATACAGAAGCAGCTCCATGATCTCGGTCTGGTTGTGCACAGCAGCACAAGAGAGAGCGTACCCAAGCAGCTCTTGCACCGCCTCAACTGCTACCCCATAGTGGATCTGCAGATCTACCACATTCGAGTGACACGCCTCTGTATTTCCTTCTTCGCATGCCTTCACCAACTTGCCTTCCAACTCGGCCGCTACCGCCCCCATCGCTCTCCTGGCTACAAAAACAAAAAGTTTAAAGCAGCATTACAATTGTAAAAACAAGAAAATAAATTCAAAGACACCAAAACATAATTTTTTACTTGGTTTTGTTTTTCTCAACATTTCCAACTACACTGCTGCAGGGAACGCCATCATGAAGCTGCAAAAGTCGATGAAGATGTAATCGGTCAGGAAGTAGAAAAACGTGGCCAAGAAGATCGAAATGGGCAGCGCCGGCAGCGCCTTGTGAAGCACAGCCAACAGGAACAATGTTCCTCCGAGACCCTAATACAGAAATCACCGTGGTTAGTTATGCCCTGTACGAAGGAAATGCGGTATTAGACTTACCATCACGATGCATACGAACGTAACCGCGAAGGTTGAGAAGTCCTTAATAGCAGCACGACCGACAAGTACACTGTAGAAGATGAAGTCACCCAGTCCCAGCTTAATGGTCTTGTCATCCTCGTCCTCCTCCTCACGTTGACGTTCACGTCGTTCACGTCTTGCTTGTACGGGGCATGGCATGTCCAGCGAGCACGAGCAGACGTAATATTTGTGGAAGATCAAGAGCCAGAGACGGTCCTGGGTCGGGAAGAACTTCTCAGCCACCTGTGGCGCCTTCCACGTGTCCTCTGCACTGAAAGTCTCGTAAAACTCCGTCAGCAGAGCCACGAGCGCTTCCAACGTCTCACACTCGTACGTCGTAAAGTTCGACTCAGCCACATTGCGAGGTCGACTGGAAGAAGACATCACTGGAATCGGAGACGAGTCTGTGCGGTCTGTCGTGGGCTGAGGCACCGGGACAGGAACAGGAGCCACCACTGGCACTGGAGCAGGAGCGCGGGTACTGTTTGTCACTGGAGTAGTACCGTTGTCGTTGTGGTTACTGGTACTCGACGACTGCGACGTAGCAGACGACGACTGACGTTGAGCTGCGGTTACCTCGTCTGTGGGCGCGTTCTTAGGACGCTGCTGTTCCTGTTGCCGACGCTGTTGTTGTTGTTGTTGCTCTTGTCTGTGACGGTCGTGTGATACACCGTCACGAACGTCCGCTTCGTAGAGTAGACCGGGCAATGGTGCTTGTTTCTCCTGGATGAGTCCAATAAGGTACTTGAGTGGGCCACAGGGAGTCAACACGGCACAGAGATCGTAGCACGCGAACATGACGCAGAACGTGAACGTCGTCCATTCAGGCCACATGGAGAACTGCCACGCCAGAATGACACTCACCATGACCAAATACCCATTTTGGACAAATTTAGGTGTTCCTTTCTGGTAGAAAATGGAAATGACTCCCACAAAGCCAAAGTTGACCATCACGAAGAGAAAAGTGGGCCAATCTACAGCCCAACCGAACTGGTCGTTCACGATCTCGTCCACCAGTTGACCCCCGACGAAGCTTAGAATGGCTGTGGAAGCGAACATGATGTAACCGCTCAGGAACTTCATGCAGTTGTACTTGTACAGCAGCGCCATGCCGAACGTCAATAGCGCGATAGCTCCGATAATTACTAGAGCGTTCACCAGCGACTCGCCGATACCGGAGCCTCCGCTGCTAGAGCTCGAGCCTGAGTCTCCGTACACGAGATATGTCGACATAGAAGCCTCAATACTGTCGCTGCGGTAGTTGACGACCACGAGACTGGCCACGATCATCGTCACGCACACGGGGAACACGATGGCCCAGAAAGAATTAATACCATGCATAAGGTCGTCGTAGCCCTCGCCCTCTGGCGGCGCAACCTCCTGCTCGCTCTGTTCATTAGGCAAAGGCTGAGGCGCCGCTTGGCGACCTGATCCAGGTGTGTCGCCGCTATTGGGCGTCGTGAGCTTGTCGTAGTTGCTGCCGGCCAGCAGCGCCGTGTTATCTGTGGGCATGGCGCCTTCCTCGCCGCGCACCTGTGCCATCCAAAGTCTGTGGGTCTGCTCTTGCGGTGGTAGACGCTTGGTCTCAGGCAACTGCCCTAGCAATTGTGGCAAAGCTCCGCTCGATCTCACACTGATAGACAGTTCTGAAAAGAATGTATGGGCAATTCCCCTAGACACAGTTTTGACTTGATATTTGTACTGAATTGGCTAAATGCTGAAGCATTGTATGGATTTTCCACAAGCTGCCATAGGCGAAGACAGTCTTCAAGACGGTCGCTTATGGCCACAAAGAAGGCTTTGTATTACACGTGCAGTCGCATGAAACTATCGGTTATGAAAGATGGAAGTGTTGGCTGGAGAACAGCGATGGCTGCAGCCCGTTACCGTTTCGATGGAAAAGGCGATTGCTTTTAATGAATGCGACGTGCTTATGTGTGTGTGTGTGTCGTCGTCAGAACGGGACGATCAGCCGACTCTCGAAATCTGTCGATTGGATCACCTGCAATTGAAGAGAAATTGTTAGCAGCGATAGCGAGGACCTAGCACACAATGGTTGCGAGTTTTAAGCTTAGACCTTGACAAAGTCATCGTAGATGAGGAAATCGCGGGTCGGTGTTGAAGAGGCCTCATCCATGACATGCTCGATCAGTGACTCCACGACCTTCATTGTTGTTGAAACCAGATTTTCGTTAGCGATCATGATAATTGGGAAATCTCATAATAAATGGGCTAGACTGTTAGGCGCAATTGTAATACCTGTTGTTGAGATTGGATGGCGTCGCTCTCGGTTTCGGAGACCTTGGGAAACACGAGAGCACAGTAAGCTCGAAGGTCGTCGCGTGAGATTTTGCCATCGCCATCGAAATCGTGGATCTTGAACGCTTCTGCTTCGAAAGTGGCATAACGTTACCACAAGTACCTCTTCCACGTTCTGCTTTAGGACACCCACCTTTGAGCTTGTCGCCTTGCGAGCTACTGTAGCTGAAGACCTGAGCGAATTTGGCAAACTCCTGCATCAAGCGTTCGCTATCAATGCTTTATCGTTTTGAGCCAAGCATGCGTAGACCTTGCTTACCGCAAAAGTGATCATTTGCGTTACTGTAAGCTCCAGTGACTTGAACAGTTGATCTCGCAACGGGTTCGCCGCAATCGCTGGCAGCGCGTAAAACTCATCCTTCGTCATATCTTCACCCTTCACCAGCGTCTTGTACCTCCGACGAATGCGGTGGATCTCTTTCGGAGGAGCTGCAGTATAACAACATCAGACAAGGGCAAACGAACGACTTAAGTATACTGCGCTCATGCATACGCGAAGTGTTCACATGCACTTCCTCTATCTGCTCCTCGCTCAAGTCGCACGTCTCCCCTGACGACCACAAACTGCCCACCAGGCCCATTATTGGAATGAAAAACTGACTTTGCGGCTCTTCATTCCTATCCAAATCTCTTTTATCCTCTACTTACTCGTTCTCCTGAATGCTCGTCGACCCGTTGCAAGCTCGCTTCTACTTTTTGTTGTTGTTGAACTTGTTGCTTATTCGCGCAGACGATCGATCTTGCGGAGACCATTGAGTGCGGCCACGCGGTAAGCTTCGGCCAGCGTCGGGTAATTGAACACAGCGTTCCGGAAGTACTCGAGAGTGCCACCAGTGGACATGACCACCTGACCAATATGAATAATTTCCGTGGCCCCCTCGCCAATAGCGTGGACGCCAAAGATTTTGAGAGTGTCTGGGCAGAAAATGATCTTGAGGAAACCGGGTACACCGCCAAGCATCTGACCCCTGGCCAGCTCTTCGTAGCGAGCCACGCCAACCTCGTACGGGACCTGCTCCTTCGTCAGCTGCTGCTCGTTCTTGCCCACCATCGAGATCTCCGGCACAGTGTAGATACCGAACGGGAACACCTCGCCAGAACGCATACGGGTGCGTACACGATCCGGGTCATCCATCTTTTTGTCGTCGGAGAGTTCCAGGTCGTTCAGAGGCTTGGACGTACGCATATGCACGGAAGCAAGACGCCCCTGCTCCATCGAAGTCGACGCAAGGCCAGGGAAGCCGATGATGTCACCTGCAGCATAACTGTGCAGCAAGTGTACAGGTTAGCTTTTAGGTTGTGTCATCCTAAGGCGAAGCCATAAGTGCATACTGTACGTACATATGAGGCACCGCAGTCTGGAAGTTGTTGTCGACCTTGATGCGTCCGCGTTTGTCCGGCGCGAGGCCCACAGCCTCCAGGTTCAAGCCTTCCACGTTGCCCTGACGCCCGACAGTGTACAGCAGTCCGTCGCCCACGACCGTCTTGCCACTCTCCAGATGCGCGAAGACCTCGCCCTTAGGAGACTTTTCCACACTCTTGATGGTCTCGCCAGTGAGAAATCGCGTTCCTGTCTGAGCCATGGAGTAACACAGCGCCTCGGACACCTGCTTATCTGCCATGTTGAGAATCTCCTGACGTCCGTCAATTACCGTCACGTCCGTGCCTGGGATGATCGTCATCATCGAGGCGTATTCCATGCCGACCACACCGGCGCCCACAATGATCAGGCGACGCGGCACGCTCTTCACATTGCCCCACAGCAGCTGGTCACTGTCGAAGATCGTCTCGCCATCGAACGGGATGTCCGGACGACGCGCCGGCCGCGTGCCGACACAGACCAGGAACTTGTCGGCTGTCAGAACACTATAACAAAACTCAATCGAAATCTTAGCATGGCACTCACAGACCAATTACAGCTAACCAGGTCGTACCGCTTGCAGATGTCGGCGCTGGTGTGTCGCTTGGCGTCCGTGGCCGTTTCGTACGACTCGTTGGACAGCACTGCGACCATGTTCTTGTTGCCGGTCAGGAATCTGGCCGTACCATTGATAAGCTGCACGCCGTTACGCAGCAACTGATGGCGGGTGATGTCCGTCTCGGCGTCCTCCACCTTCCTGACGCGCTGCAAAATGTCCTCGACGCCAAAGCGCCTGCTAGGCCCCGCCTGACCGTTATAGAAGGCCTTGTGGCGGTACCCTGTCAGGTGAAGTGCTGCTTCACGGAAGGTCTGCATCGTGTTACGCATAATTCAGTCACAATGACCTTTCTCGATGATAACTAGTTGTTCAAAGCCGCACCTTCGAGGGCACTGTGCCTGTATGCACGCAAACTCCGCCCAGCATATCACGCTTGTCGATGATGGCCACGGACTTGCCGTGCTTGGCACTGTCGATGGCGCATTTCTGGCCGGCCGGTCCGCTGCCGATGACGATTAGATCGAAATGTTCGCTGGCGCGTAACTCGCGCAGCGTATCGGTCAGCGGCCTGTTCTCAGCTGAATCCTCAGTGCTGAAGGTGGAGCGTGCAGTGGCAGCACGCAGCAAGGTGTGTGAAGGTCGCGAGGCTACCACTGCGGAGCGACGCAGGTGCAGCATGACGAAGGAATCCGGTACAGACTGGAATGTGCGGTTGTCGGTTTTCGGTCCCAGGACACTAGAAAACTGGAACCTGGAAAATAATATTACACAAGGGCTACATCAAAGCGGTTTTACGGTCAAAGTTATTAAATAGGTGCTTTTTAGATAGAGAGTGATTCATTTGCCCGAATGAAAATCTGCCAAATCTGAGTTGAGTCGACCCTAAACCTCCTCAGATAAATACCCCTTTCCGGACAAAGTATACCGTATAGTAAAGGGAGGCGACCACACATTTTTCCCGCCTCGGGGTCTGAATACTGCTGGACGATCGCCACGAATCTGCGCGTGCTGCCGAGCGTGGGTCAGCCACAGGGCAAGAATCGATCGGCGCAAACGTTGTAGATGGAGCTAAGGGCGCGGACGTCTCAAAAACGTCGTGGATCAGGGTCACGAAGCGATGATGACGCATCCAACGTCTCGGTCGAGTCCAGCGAAGAGGAATTGGTCGACGAATCGCTCCCGATGGAATCTGGCGACAACAGCAGCCGCTCCAGCGACTGGACCAACACCGACGACTCTGAGTCTATCAATGTAACGCTGGCTGTGCCCGACCCTGCATTACATTGCAAACCCAGCACATGAGGCTGATGTTCGAGCAATTCCCGGAGGTTCTTTTGATCGATGCAACCCACGGCACCAATGCTTCTAAGTACAAGGTATTTTCGTTCATGGCGCACGATGTTTTCGGCCACGGACAGTTTGTTCAGCACGCCCTTCTGCAGAATGAACGTCGTCACACTCTCGTCACTGCAATCGAGGAGTTTAAGCAGAACAATCCGGCATGGACTCGAGTCCAAAGCATACTTATCGACAAAGACTTTACGGAGTTGTCGGTACTCAGGGCAGCGTTTCCGGATGCCTCTATACTGCTCTGTCAGTTTCACGTGCTGAAGTATCTGAGAGAGGCTGTGGCATCTTCGGACTATGGTTTCACCTCATGGCAAAAGGACCAGCTACGCAGCACATTCAATTTGCTCGTGTATGCTCCTACTGAGGCAGCCTATTTGAAGCATCGTCGCTACCTCCGCCACCTTGTGACATTTGGCGTTGCTTCGGGCAGTTCGAGCTTACTCGGGCAGGCTGTGGCTGATTCGGTCTCAGTTGGGCACTTAATGTTGGATTCGAGCTCAGTCGGGCACTCAGCGGGTGATTCGGGTCCAATTGGGTTTCGCGTTGGTGATGCGGACTTAGTTCAGACTCAAGCCGGCTCGGATGCTCACAATGAAGCCGAAGAGGAATGCGACCCCAATCTGCATGCGTTTGAAGCCTACTTTACGAAGAATTGGGATAGCTGCAGAGAGCTATGGTGTGCATACAAGCGTCAAAACACGGTTACTCTTGGAAACAATACTAACAACCGCTTAGAGTCGGCATGGAAGCAGCTTAAAGAGTGGGTTGACGCGTTCATGGATCTGGACGAGTGCATTGCCTCCATCATGTACTACCAGAGTCGTCAGGAACGCAGCTTTAACGACCAAGTCTTTAAAGTGACTTCCGTCCAGCATACTCACTACGATAAGGAGATGAAGCATGTTGCCAACCTCGTTGGCCAACACGCTTGTGAGCTGATCTACAAGCAGTACACGTTTGCCGTCGTCCAAGCTTCGTATCAGTATAATGAGGTATTTCCCGGAGTATACGCTATCCATAGCGAATCAAGGTCGGAAGATGCCCTCGACGAGCCTCGAGTCAGTTACACGGTTCACAAGAATAGTTGGACGTGCTCATGCCTCTTCATGGCGACGCGCTTACTTCCTTGCCGGCATGTGTTCTTCATACGGAAAGACATGAAGATGGAATCTGTAATCGCGACTCAATTGCTAAACGAGCGGTGGCTACTAACTACGGTCCGATCCGCTGTCAACCTGGCTGAACGTCCTCGTGCCAAGTTTGCCATTGTATCTGCCCCTGAAGACGCGAGCTCCACATGGGACTCTAACCGAAAATATCGGGAGGCAAACTTGATAGCTAGCTCTATCAGTGACACAATGGCCATGAAGGACTACCAGCTTGCAATGAAGTTTCTCCAATCGGTGTCTCGTATCATAAAGCACAAGGAGTTTGAGAGGCTTCTTCAAACCGAAACGGAACGACCTACCATCCTGGTTTCAAAGACCACAGGTGCGGGTGACGATGTGGATGATTGTGGCGACTGTGAGTTTGGTCAAGCTGGTATTGAGCATACCGAAGAGAGCTTGCTTGCCGTGGGCGATCATTGCAGTAAGACTAGGACCTCCTGTGTCACAGAGGAGGCCAACACTCACGATCTAGCCGACATATGCCCAGCTGTGCCCCAACCAAGACCAACTTTGCCCGAATCAAGACCAACCGTGCCCGAAGCAGGACCGATTGTGCCCGATTTAAGGTTGATCATCCCCGAGCAAGCTGCGAGTGTATCGAAACCGACTGCCCCGAAAACAAGTGCATGTATCCAAGAACCAAGTGAACCGGAGTCACCTACAACCGCGGTTAATATGAGACCAACTGTGCCTGAACCGAGACCGATTGTGCCCGAACATAGCATTTCTGCACTATCAAAACCAGTCAATGAAACACCATCAGTAGCTCAAGCCAGTGAAGGAGATCAACAGGCGACTACATCCAGATTATCTACAGTTGATATTGAAGACAGAGATGTGGAGTTCGAAATTGCGAGTCCAGTGCGTCAACGAGGGAGACCTAAAGTCACGCCAAAAGCAAAGAAAGCAAACCGAAACAGGCTGATTCGGAGTGTAGAGGCAGATTCAACGCTGTTTGACTTGCAAATAAGCTTGCGGTCCGTTCACGAAAGCCTTTCCACGAGCGCTACCTATTCATCCTCCGCTGAACTTGCTCGACGACTACAAGTGTATACATTTGGGACTAAGCCTAAACCCCCAGTGGCCCGACAGACGAGCAAACTCCCTGCAGGCAAGACGCTGACAGACTCAAGTTTGCTGACTCGAGTGCTTTCCAAAGACATACTCAGAAAGTGTGACGCGAAGGTTTCCGCGCTTCAACGTAAAACGTCTGGATTATCGGAGAGAGACGTATCGGTCGAGATTATTAGTCTGGGTGTGTTCTCAACAACGACATTACGAATGATGAAAGGTTGGCATCACGCAATCTCAATCTTCGACTCTATTGACAAAACGCTGAACTGGATCAGCCGAATCGACTTCACCCAGCCGCTTAGCCCGGACTACACTATTGAAGCAGACCATGAGATACCAAGCAAGCTTAAGCAGCTACAGATTCGCTCTGACTCGGTACGTCATCTTGTCACTGTACTACCTCGAAATAAGGCTAGTAAAACTAACATTGGAGCACAGATACATCTACTAGACCTTGCTGCCAGAGGGTCACTCGGGGACGAGTGCATGTATGCGGTGATGAACGTGATGTTTGCGTCCACACCAGGGGTGGTCACCATTTGATTCGAGCCACGTTGGTGTAGTTGTCAACGGGAAAAACACTACAGACATGAAGGCCTTGCGTCTCTTTTCGCCGGGGTTTCGGACGAAAAGGTGCTCGTTCCCATCAATTGTAATGGAAATCATTGGTGCGCTATCATGATCGACCTATCGACCGAAAGCATATACACTTACGACCCGATGTCATCATCCTATGCGGCCAGCGTCCGAGCTATCGCGCACAAATTGGTGGGGGTCCTACCGATACCGAAGGATAGGTATCATCACCAGTCGTACGTATCGAGCATTGGTATCCAGACCGACAACTACAATTGTGGCATTTACGTTCTCTTGGCATTCGAAGCCTTTACGGGAGCTTCTGACGTGGGATATGTGAACAAGCAAAGGTTGCAGCTTCTACGATACCGGTACCTCTGTATGTCTGTGTAAGTTTCTTCGGCATAATATGAGACTTTACATTTCTGATGCATTTTACTCTGACACTGCCTGGGATGTCATTGAACTTGGCTACACTTCACTGAACTATATATCCAGCTATCCATGATTCGCATGTATACATCGAATGCCCCCATTCGGGTAGCTCGGACACATTCGGGCGCACTCGGGTGTGTGCAAATCCTAAAGCATGTTGCCATTCGGGTGATATAACGACTGCCTTTTAGATAAGAGAGGATGTTAGCAAACTCGTATTTTACGATACGTACGAGAGCAAAACCGCGCGCCCGGCAGCTTATATAGAATTTTCAAGATACGAGAACACATTTGATTGGCTATATTATCTCCTGGGTTTATACTCCAGGTCGACACCAGTTCCGCGGTGCACCCTTGTTCCATCATCCACCGAGTTACTCGGTGCCAGCGAGATGCATGACATCCCTGGCCCCACGTATATCAGCGAGGAGCCCGTAGCTTGCGAGCAGTCCCCTGCAAGCCAACCTACCCAGCCGTCTAAGCCAAAACGGGGGAAGTTCAGCGAGGAGCAGGACTTTGTACTGCTGTATGCTATTACTAGGCTCGCTCCATACGCTGCGGACCACGGGGACGTCGGATAAGCGTGGGAAGACATTGTTAGCTCCGCGCCTGCTTCACTTCGCATGCCTGTCACTGATCGCGCATGCTCCGACCGTTTTAAAACATTAAAAACGTCAGACGCTCTAAGAACATACACACGGCTTCTATTATTGGTGCATTTCGTTCTTCCAAGGGTTATAGTGATGTGCTGAAAGCGTAGTACAGCAGTCATCTCTCGAATTTCTGCTCTGGTGAAACGGCAGTATACTTTGCAGTACGCGT